GCACTGGTACCCACAAATGTATACATATTACACATTTGCAGGACCAGATTAAGGCATAGAAAACCTAGGCGCATACCTAGGGCCAAATTCACTGGGGGGGCCCAACCTGAGCTCCAACAGGTCTGGTTCACAAACTGGTGCAGAAGCCGGCTCAACAGCAGCAGTGAAGAGGAGCAGCCCTGTGTGCCCCATTGTCCACTCACATTGGGCCCCACAGCTCCTTCACCATGATGGAGGGTCCATGAGACCAAACCTGAGCAGTGCTGTGACCCTTGTGCACCAGGCTGCAATGCCACTCACTCAATTTTGGCTCTGCTGCTCCCCGTCATGATGCAGGGCCATGAGGCCAAATCTGTTCCTCCTTGCTGCTGCTGCTGGGCCAGCTCCCGCACCAAGGCTCCCTCCTGCGGGCCTGTTTAGCCTCGTCCCAATTCCAGCACCCCATGTCCCCTCTGCTCTGCTTGCAGGACTTGTTCAGTGACCGCCTTAAGACCTCCTACAAGTATGGGAACTACGGTGAGTGCCCACAGAAGAGGGCTGGCTGGGAGAGGGGCTGTGGAGAGCCTGGGAGGTGAACAGAAGGGAGTTTGGCCTAGCCGCATTGTGCCCAGTGTAAGATAAGAGTATTTGTAGACACCATGAGAATGGTTCAGTTATGTGTACCACGTGAAAAATTTCTGGGGATGCCCAGGCTGCAATACCCAGAGTGGGAAGCCAGGCCCAGCAGTGTGGGACAGAAGTCAGGGTGAACATGGGGTGTGCTCGCTCTCCAGCCTCCCCCGGCCACACACACATATATACCAGGCAAGGATTAGGGTTGCAGTCTCAGGGTGACAGGTTTCAGAGTGGTAGCCATGTTAGTCTGTATCAGCAAAGAAAAAAAAAAAAAAAGAAACAGATTGACAGAGCCAGAAGAATACCCAGAAGTCACCTACTCCAGGACAGACCCAACAAAGAAAGTAACATAACACCACTAGCCGTCACCTTCAGCCCCCAACTAAAACTTCTCCAGCACATCATCAAGGATCTACAACCTATCCTGAAGGACGATCCCTCACTCTCACAGATCTTGAGAGACAGGCCAGTCCTCGCTCACAGACAGCCCCCCCAATCTGAAACAAATACTCACCAGCAACCACACACCACACAACAGAAACACTAACCCAGGAACCTATCCTTGCAACAAAGCCTGTTGACAACTCTGGACACAAATCAGACGTCAAGAATTATAACATTTAAAAACCAGTCGGAGAACACTTCAACCTCCCTGGTCACTCAATTTCAGACCTAAAAGTCGCAATTCTCAAAAAAAAAAAACAAAAAAAAACAAGCTTCAAAAACAGACTCCAACGAGAAACTGCAGAATTTGAATTAATTTGCAAACTAGACACCATTAAATTAGTCTTAAATAAAGACTGGGAATGGATGGGTCATTACACAAAGTAAAAACTATTTCCCCATGCTAATTTTCCCCTACTGTTACTCACACCTTCTTGTCAACTGTTTGAAATGGGCCATCCTGATTATCACTACAAAAGTTTTTTTTCTCCTGCTGATAATAGCCCACCTTAATTGATTAGTCTCGTTAGAGTTGGTATGGCAACACCCATTTTTTCATGTTCTCTGTGTATATATATCTTCCTAGTGTATTTTCCACTGCATGCATCCAATGAAGTGGGTTTGAGCCCACGAAAGCTTATGCTGAAATAAATTTGTTAGTCTCTAAGATGCCACAAGTACTCCTTGGGTTTTTTTTTAGTCCTAGGTAGAAGGTGATACTGAGTGTGGTCAATGCCCCATGGTGGAGCGAGAAGGAAGTGGCAACAGAAGATGAAGATGCTGGCCTATGATTTTGCGCCCACCCCCATGAATTTGGATCCTGTGTGCGTCACAAAAAAAGAGACAAATGCAGTTTGGGTTGCCCTACTAAAAAGTTTGGGAATGACTGCAATAAGTCTACGAGTTCCCAAAAGGTGACAATAGTTTGTCAAGCAATGTTACAGGTACTAAATGCATATTTAATCCACTATGAATGCATTATTAAACATGTCAGTATACCACAATGTGTAATACAGGGCAGGCACAGAGAAAATATCAGAATATATGATTCTGTCTTGATGGACTTTTTTACACTAACAATAAACTGCCTCAGCTATTATCATTCACTTCTCGATAAAAACAAAAGGCTCCTATACTTTTGTTATACATGGTCAAAGATCACCTGCCTTCAGGACCATCCACATGCAGTTCTGAGAAAGGACGTCAGTCCCCCAACAAAATTGGGACAATCCCTTTTCCAAAAAAGGAAACAGAAAATAGTTTCAGTACTTCCAAAGAGGCAAACTGAAAAGGGAAAAAGATCAACACTTTGGGAACTGAAGTCTGGGAGATATAATCAGAAGACCTCAAAATGCTTTACATACCATGGTTTAAGCCTCACAACACCCATATCTTGATAAGCATTGTTTCTTATTAACTGTGCTCCTGCCCAAAAGACCCCATCAGGATCAGGGCCCCATTGTGCTAGGTGCAGTACAAACACACAGGAAGACCCAGTCCCTGCAGCAAAAAGAATACAATCCAAGGCCTGCTCCTGCAAGGAGTTGCACACAGAGCTCCATAGACTTCAGTGAGCTCCATGTGCACGGGGATGCACTTCCATACTTCTCATTGTACAACTGTGGCCTAAATAGACAAGTGAAAAGTGTAGGAAAGGGCTAAGATACACAAGCAGAGGGATCAGGCCAATGATGGGCATACATCATGTTAGTCTTGTTTTTTTAATATTATATAATTGTGTGTGTGTGTGTGTATACACATACTCACACTGTCCTCACTACCCTAGGTCTAGCTACTGTTATTTCCTTTGTAGTCTCAGTTTTACAAGTAAACTGAGGAACAGAAAGAATAAGTATTTTCCCAAAGACCATGTTCTGGTATCCAAATTAAAGTGACAGAATGTTCCACAAAACAGTTCAAAACTCCGAGAGTACTTTCATATTTTATCTAACCAATAACAACAAAAGTTATACTTAAAAAAACTGAAGCAGGGCTGGGCATTAGAGAGAGTAACCTCCTATTATAAAAAAACGAGGAGTCCTTGTGGCACCTTAGAGACTAAGAAATTTATTTGGGCATAAGCTTTCATGGGCTAGAACCCACTTCAGCAGATGCATGAAGTAAAAGATACAGGAGCAGGTATAAATACATGAAGGGATGTGGGTTGCTTTACCAAGTGTTAGGTCAGTCTAATGAGATAAATCAATTAACAGCAGGATACCAAGGGAGGAGAAATAACTTTTGAAGTGGTAAGAAAGTGGCCCATTACAGACAGTTGACAAGAAGGTGTGAGTAACAGTAGGGAGAAATTAGTATTGGGGAAATTAAGTTTAGGTTTTATAATGTCCCAACCACTCCCAGTCTTCATTCAGGCCTAATCTGATGGTATCTAGTTTGCAAATTAATTCCAGTTCTGCAGTTTCACGTTGGAGTCTGTTTTTGAAGTTTTTTTGTTGAAGAATTGCCACTTTGAGGTCTGTTATTGAGTGACCAGAGAGAACCTCACTTGTTGACTCCTGTGTCACATCAGCAGTTCCTCTGCACTACCTTCCCTGAGTAGCTCAGCAAGTTCAGTTGGGCTCCTGGGCTCTAACTTCTAAACTCACTTGAACTCCCTCCTATCTTGCAAGTCATTTTATTTACCTTGCTTGTGTTGGACCAGAAGTCAGACAGTGATTCATTGCCAGCTCTCTGTTCCCTGAAGGTGTAATTCCCCGATAGCTCGTCTATGGCATTCAGGATGTCCATCTCTTTGCCACCATCAGGCATCACTTAAGTTCTGGCTCTCACTTGCCCAGTTCCTGGGTAAGCACTGCAGTCGTGCCACAAGCAATACCAGGCACAACCCAGTGCTGGAGGGGACTAGTTAGTCAGAGGAGAGAATTGTGGAGACTTCACAGTCACTCACTGGTTTGGGAGTAGGAGACTGTCTGTCTGACACAGGCCTCTATCTTAACTGCTGCCTGGATACCTGCCCAATAGGTGAATGCAGAATCAGAGCAGGGGAGGGAGTTACTGGGACCCTCAAGAAGAGTATGATCTAGTGTTGGGACATTTTGTGGGGGGGAGGGGGTAGTAGCTTTTTACAAGTCAAATGTAAAAAAGACTGTCTCCTGTAACGATTAAGAACTTTGCATTGAAAAAAGGGAGCTCAATTCTCATCCAAACAGGATAGTGTTTATTAACTTCCATTCCTTCCCAGTTTGTTAATCCATAAAAAGGGAGGAGGCCAAGGTATGTAATCAGCTTTTTTTATTATTAGCAGATGTACAAACAAGTTGTCAGCTCTAAAATGCAGGGCCGGTCTCCATTTTGTGACCTATACAGCACCAAGCACAGTGTTGGCACTTAAAAAAAATAGCTACACCCTAAACTGTCATAGGAGAACATTTGTCTCTCCTCATGAGGGTTGGTAAATGTCTATTTCTCGCATCTTTCAGTGTCCTATGCTTTGGGGATAGAGGAGTGTCCAGAGCTAACCAAGCAGAGGCTGAATACTGATTAATTAACTAATGAAAAGCAGGTGTAAACGGCTTAAGGGTGGCTCTTTAAAGCAAAAAGAAAAGGAGGACTTGTGGCATCTTAGAGACTAGCAAATTTATTTGAGCATGAGCTTTCGTGAGCTATAGCTCACTTCATCGGATGCATTCTGTGGAAAATGAATGCATCCGATGAAGTGAGCTGTAGCTCACGAAAGCTCATGCTCAAATAAATTTGCTAGTCTCTAAGATGCCACAAGTCCTCCTTTTCTTTTTGCGAATACAGACTAACACGGCTGCTACTCTGTAACCTGTCTTTAAAGCAAGTAACATGAAGCAGCAAAAAGAAACTTCCTGTGAAACTATCCTAACTCCTGTAGCAAACTCCCCTTCCCCCTCTACTGGGTTCTGCCTTGCACTCCCACTCCTAAGCCCTCCTGGGTCAGACACTCCCCGGCTTACCTTGTTTGTGTTGTACCAAAAGTTGAAGTGGGACCCATTTCTGGCCCCTTGCTCCGCAGAGGTGGAGTTCCAGGGCAGCTGGTCTAATGCGGTCAGGCTGGGCATTTCTCCAGCCATCAGTTGTGCCCCCAGGGGGACTCCGCTGCAGGCAGTGCCATGAGCAGGAGGGGACGTGTTGCTCTCAGGAGAGGAGCGTGAAAACTTTACAGTCACTTCCTGGTTTGGGATGGTTTGGGAGTAGGAAATTCAGCTTGAATGACACACTCCTCTGCACCCACTGCTGCCCGGACATTGCACAGGTGTATGAAGAGTCGGGGAAGGGAGAAGAGTACTGGTGGGACACTGGGGAACTTGGAGGTGTATTGGGGGCTATGGCTTGTTTTGTTGCCTATACAAATTAGTAGGGGGAGCATAACAACAAAGCCAAGTGCAGGAATTTTTCAGCTAGCTTTACTGCTCCTAGCACAGCACTCAGACCTTCCCTCCCCCGCAACTTCCCAGTGCCCTACCCCTGTTCTGTATCAGCTGCCTGAAAGCTTAACTCTTTCACAACCGCTGAGCACTGACTAACTCTAATAACTTAGGCTGGTGATCTTTTTTAGCTCTGAGTCATTTGCACTCAGACTTATTTCTGTGAGCATATTCATTATTTGTAACTATTTTCCAAATAATTTATATGAACAGATTTCAGCCGATGGGTCTGTTTTCAAGATGTCAGGTCACCTATTTGCTATTTGTGATGTTTTATTAGTCACCTATACAGCATGGTATTATTTCTGCTCAGTGACTAGCCAAATGAAACTTTTTCAATAGGATAGTAAGTAATATTCAAGAGCAAATACACTTGATGGTGCATGTAAACCCTTGTTTATATGTTCACCCAACTTTTTTCTCTTAAAGGCTACTCAATTTCAGTAGGATGTTTTTGTCCATAAATGCATGAGATTAAATAGGAGTGTGTGCATGAAGTGTGCACAGAATGTAACTAATTCATGTTTTGTAAGGGGAAACTACTCCACTGGGTTTTAAAGATGAAGTCTGAAATTCCTTTGGACAAATTTTTATCACTGTAGCGGGAAAAGGCATTAGAAGTGAAGTTAAAGGGTTCAGAGAGCATTAAAGGTGGTCAAGACATTTGGGGGATCATGAAGAAAGAAGGGGGGGGGGCTAACAATCACAGGAGGATAGACAAAGTCTCACAGAGTAGCAGAGAGGCTCTACATTGAGAACCAAAGGGAGAGCTGTTGCATCCTAGGATTTGTAGAGAATGTAACTGAGCATAATCTGAACAGTTCTGTAGACACATACATATCAAAGAACTAGAGAATCTTGGATATCCTTGGGCAATTACTGTTTACACTGTCCATCTGCCAGTCTGCTGTGGCTGTAAATCTTGCTTGTTGGCCTCATTTATATGAAATGGCCCAGGAAGGCATACTGTGAGAAAACTCTTGGAATAATTAGATTGGCATCCCTTCCTCATTCCATGTTGTTTCTCAGGTATTGTTGTTTTGCTGAACAGTGCTCCCAGAGATACAAGCTACAGCAGCATTATTAGCAGTGTGTCCCTCTGAAACGTCTTTTATAGGACACACATGGGCACTGGTGGCCATTCAGGCTGCTCTTATTATTTGTATTGCAGAGCACCTCTGGCCCCCAACCAGGGCCCTATTGTGCTAGACACTGTACAAATACATAATGAAAATGCAGTCCCTGCCCTGAAGAGCATATAATCTAAGGGTATGTCTACACTATGAAATTAGGTCGATTTTGTAGAAGTCAATTTTTAGAAATCGATTTTATACAGTCAATTGTGTATGTCCCCACTAAGCACATTAAGTCGGCGGAGTGCGTCCTCAATACCGTGGCTAGCATCGACTTACGGAGCGGTGCACTGTGGGTAGCTATCCCACAGTTCCCACAGTCTCTGCCGCCCACTGGAATCTGGGTTAAGTTCCTAATGCCTGATGGAGCAAAAACATTGTCGTGGGTGGTTTTGGGTACATGTCGCCAGTCGCCCCTCCTTCCCTACCTCCCTCCGTGAAAGCAATGGCAGACAATTGTTTTGCGCCTTTTTTCCTGGATTACCCATGCCGATGCCATACCATGGCAAGCATGGAGCCCGCTCAGCTCACTGCTGCTGTTGTGAGCATTGTAAACACCTCGCACATTATCCTGGAGTATGTGTAGAACCGGGCTAAGAGACGCCAGCACGAGGACGATTGTGATGAGGACACGGACACAGATGTTCCTGAAAGCACGGGCTGTGGCAATTGGGACATCATGGTGGCAGTGGGACTGGTTGATACAGCGTCACGCCAATTCTGGGCCCGGCAAACAACCACAGACTGGTGGGACCACATAGTGTTGCGGGTACGGGATGATTCACAGTGGCTTCAAAACTTTTGCATGCGTAAAGCCACTTTCACTTGAACTTTGCGAGTTGCTTTCCCCACCCTGAAGCACAGGAATACCAAGATGAGAGCTGCCCTGAGAGTTGACAAGCAAGTGGCGATAGCCCTCTGGAAGCTTGCAACGCCTGACTCCTACCGTCAGTCAGGAATCAATTTGGAGAGGACAAGTCTACTGTGGGGGCTGCTGTGATCCAAGTAGCCAGTGCAATCACTGGCATTCTGTTAAAAAGGGTAGTGACTCTGGGAAATGTGCAGATCATACTGGATGGCTTTGCTGCAATGGGGTTCCCTAACTGTGGTGGGGCGATAGACTGAACACATATCCCTATCTTGGCACCGGAGCACTTTGCCAACCAGTACGTAAACCGCAAGGGGTACTTCTCAATGATGCTGCAAGCATCGGTGGATCACAAAGGACGTTTCACTGATATCAGTGTGGAATGGCTGGGAAAGGTGCATGATGCTCGCATATTTAGGAATTCTGGGCTGTTAAAGCAGTTGCAAGAAGGGACTTATTTCCTAGACCAGAAAATTACCATTGGGGATGTTGAAATGTCAGTAGTTATCCTTGGGGACCTAGCCTACCCCTTGCTCCCATGGCTCATGAAGCCATTCATAGGCAGCCTGGACATTAGTAAGGAGCAGTTTAACTATAGGCTGAGCAAGTGCAGAATGGTGATAGAATGTGCCTTTGGACATTTAAAAGCTTGCTGGTGCTGTTTGCTGACTAGGTTAGACCTCAGCGCAACCAACATTCCCATTGTTATTGCTGCTTGCTGTGTGCCCCATAATATCTGTGAGAGTAAGGGTGAGATGTTTATGGCGGGGTGGGAGGTTGAGGCAAATCACCTGGTGGCCGATTTTGAGCAGCCAGACACCAGGGCAATTAGAAGAGCAAAGCAAGGCACGCTGTGCATCGGAGAGGCTTTGAAAACCAGTTTCATGACTGGCCAGACTACAGTGTGACAGTTGTGTGTGTTTTTCCTTGCTGCAAACTCGCCCCCTTTGTTGATTTTAATTCACTGTAAGCCAACCACCCTCCCCACTTTGATCACAGCTGGCAAAGGAAATAAAGTAACTATTGTTTTGAAACAATGCATTCTTTCTTTATTAATTAAAAAAAGTGAAATAACTGGCAAGGTAGCCTGGGTGGGATGGGGTGTGGGAGGAGGGAAGGACAAGGCCACATTGCTTATTGTAGCCACACTACAAATCAAAACGGTTTGAATGACAGCCTTCTGTTGCTTGGGCCATCCTCTGGAGTGGAGTGGCTGAGTGCCCGGAGCTTCCCCCTGCATTCTTGGGATCTAGGTGAAGAGTTTATGGAACTTGGGGAGGAGGGCAGGCGGTTATACAATGGATGCAGCAGGGGTCTGTGCTCTTGTTGGCTTTCCTGCATCTCCAACAGACGCTTCATCATGTCCGTTTGCTCTGCCATTAGCCTCAGCATCGCCTCCTGCCTCTGCTCTTCGTGCTCATTAATGCATCCTGGCCTCTGCCACTGAATGCCTCCATGCATTAAGCTGTGCCCTATCAGTATGGGAGGACTGCATGAACTCGGAAAACATGTCATTGCAAGTGCATTTTTTTCGCCTTCTAATCTGTGATAACCTCAGGGATGGAGATGATAGGGGAGCATAGAAACATTTGCACCTGGGGGGAGATAAAAAAGGAAAGTAAAATTTAAGATGATACATTTCTGAGAACAAAAGGGAGACTCTTACACAGTAAATCAAGCAATTCACAGCAGACAGCACATGTGCTTTAAGTACAAGATCGCATTTTGCCTTTTATACTAAGTGCCTGCCAGTTCACAAACAGCTGGGCAACAGAATTCGGTTTCCAGGCAGCCACAGTAAGCCTTTTGGTACGCGGGTTGGCTTCTTCCACCTTCATAACATGTGGGAATGGTTTCAAACTGCAGCGCCATCCTTTCCCATAGCAAGCAATGCTGGTTGGGTTTCACATTTAAAAGGAGGGGCTGCGGTTTTCGGGTGGATGTGCAGCACACACCTCCCCCTACCCCGCTGCATGGCTATTCTCCGGGATGATCCCTTTTAGCCAAGCGCAAACAACCCAGCACGAACAAGGTCCTTTTACTGTTCCTTTACAAAAATTCCCCTATTTTAGCCAGGTGACCATGAATGATATCACTCTCCTGAGCCTAACATAGAAAGATAAAGACGGAATGTTGCTCGAATGCGACCAAAACCCAGGACCATTCGCTGCCATGCTTTGTGCTGCAGTGATTCCAGACTACTTGCTACTGGCTTGGCATGGTAAAGTGTCCTACCGTGGAGGACGAAATAAGGCAGCCCTCCCCAGAAACCTTCTGCAAAGGCTTTCAGAGTACCTCCAGGAGAGCTTTATGGAGATGTCCCTGGAGGATTCCCACTCCATCCCCAGGCACGTTAACAAACTTTTCCAGTAGCTGTACTGGCTGCAAATGCATCCCAAGTCTTCAGGGCAAATCAAACATTAAACACTATTGATTTTAAACCCTGTACTGTAGTTACAAATGTGCACTCACCAGAGCTGCCTTCTCCAGCTTCAGGGTCAGGGATCCCGTCTTGGGAAGGTATTGGTTCCAGGGTGATGAAAAGGTCCTGGCTGCCGAGGAGAACGGATTCACCACTTGGCTGCTGCCCATTCTCCTACCCCTCCTCCTCTTCTTCATCTACAAAATCCTCCTCCCTGTTGCATCAGACTCCCCCCTTGCAGGTGTCCACGGACAGCGGTGGGGTAGTGGTAGGGTCCCCACCTAGAATGCCATGCAACTGATCATAG